TGAAATAGTAGTTCAATAAAATTTTGAATGCGAGTTAACAAACGTGATGACATGGCCTTTGACCCGTCTAAATTTATATTGCATTGAAGTGTATCATGATGAGGTTTAAACATAGTACTTATCAATCAGTACAATCTTTTCAACCTCTCAAAAACTAAATATACAAGTGGACATAATCACATAACACCACGGAAATTAAGTACAAATTTAATTACTAATTTACGTTTCTTCTTTTGAGACAAAATATACTTTGTTACATTTGGTACTGTCGTTTTTTTTAACTGTTGAGTTTTATTATATAATAGCTGGAGAACTATCTGTGTCTAAATTATTTTGAAACTTAACCACATATAAAAATTATGTATGGAAGCTTGCAAGTGTGGTCACTCAGTGGCAATATAATACAAATTTAAAAAAATTCCAAGTTCTTGATGGACAGCAGTAATGTTTTTATTATCACTAGCCTGTGATGGAGGTAGTGTTTTCACTCATGTGTGTGTATGACCAGTATCATTTGAAAAGTTTTCATGTGATTTTAGTCAAATTATGTATAAAGACCAAGTATCTCTTAAGACAAATAGATTAAATTTTGGTGACTGTAGCAAAACTTTTAAGGTCAAACCGCTTTCATTAGTACAGAACAAAAACTGGGATTTTCCAATACTGACAATACTCAAGAACAAATTGAAACAGAAAAAGGAATTTGGTACCTAAACCTGTATTTTGTAGGGTGAGGAATTGTTTGGTTTATATTTTGGGTTGGTTACTGCAGGACTTCATGTTAGGAATGCCTTTTTTAGTTATTTTTTTATAATTATTATAAAAATGATATTCAAGACTTACAAGGTAATTTTCTTGTGATTATGTACATATATCAAAGAATGGTTTTAAAAACATCAACAGAGAAATTAAAATAATTATTTAATTATTTCACGGAATCTTCTCAAGTTTATCTGCTACAGTATGCACAGATAAAAACATTTGAGTAAACAAAATGAAAAAAACCCTTACCTCTGATTCAATGCTAATGGTTAATTCCTTACAAAACTGATCAATTACTTCACTGGCGCCATCTGGTTCAGGCAAAAAACAAACAAAGAAAACAACACTCAAGTTAGTTTTTTCATATTTGTCCCTACAACCAAGATGATCATTATCAAGGAAATCACTATAATATTTAAAGAAAAAGTGGCAATTATGATCTATATAAATTTCACTCTCGTTCTGCAATGCTCAAATAAAACAAAACATTTTCATCTAAGTCAAAATGCCATGGTTTCATTCTGGCTTGGACATGAAGTACAAATACATGTACCAAACACAAGAAAAGGTGACATTTTTTTTTATCTACATTTTTGACAATTTTTCAAATGAAAATAAACTGGAACCTAAATAATCTGTACTTTTATACTTTGGGGTTTTCAACTCTCAGAAACATGAACACCAGCTTTAATGATGACTGGGAATAAACAATAATGAACAAATTTAAACATAATGATACCATGGAGGGCAAATATAATTGCTCAAATCTGCAGGCATTCTTTCTTAACTTTTATGTGTGTTTTACTGAATTGAGGGTAGAAAAAACGACAATTGTACGTTTCACATTTATTCATGACCATGTTTCTGCCAGTTAAGGCATCATCAGGCACAGACTGAAATGGTTTGTAAACAGGTTTATATATAGTTTAACCAAATAACCGGAAGTAATCTTGACATTCACTATGAGACAAGTGAAGTGGAGCTTAATTTGGTTTTGTCATTTAGAACTTTTTCTGAATTTGTTTTTGGACCTCTATGTATTTAAAAACATTTCCAGACCATCTAGTTTTTTACCTTTCTTACATATATGTAAAATTTTTCAGTTATTTTCTGGATCAAGTTGGTGTTCAGTTTCAATAAGGTGGGATGCAAAGGTTGAATCCATTTTTCCTTAATTTCCAGCTTTAGTCTGCAGCTGATGATGTCTTTACTTGTAAAACCATGGCCTTTAATAAATGAAGTATGTACAGTTGTCTTTGTTTTTTTTTCCTCAATTCTGTAATTATGGAGTTTCACCAAGTACCAACAGTTTCAAGTATCAATTCTGTGTGTTTCATTTTTCAAATGGGCACAAAAAATCATACACAAGCTTATTGTGTAATAATTTCCTTTTCTGACTAAAAGATTAATATTCTTACGAAACTCTCAATTTTGGATAAAAATGAACCTTTGAATAATAATAATGAAAAAATGTGCAACATATTTCAATAATATATCATTTTCAACTGAAATTGAAAACTTTCTGTGAAAAAGAGCAAAGTAATTTGATGACTTGGTCGTCAACATTAATTTTTTGATTTGAAGTGTGTGTTGATCTATGTTATAAAAAAGATGCCAAGCAGATTGCTTGAAACACAATATAAAAAGTTAAAGTTATAAAGCAAAATTATCTTTAACATACCGTTATTGATAAAAGAAACATCTTGGCTCCCTCTTGAGTCGTATTCATTTTGACTGTGTAAAAGAAAACATAACTCAATAAAGGTCACATTCAGAACACACACTGACGATACTCTTTAGTGACATAAACAACTTTTGTTTGTTGTTGCAATAATGACACATCATTAAGGAAAATAATGTTAAATTATGAGATTGTGAGATGTGAATAAGACGACAACAACAACAACAACAAAAAACCACCTATGGGTACACATAAAGAAAGAACAAGTAATAATAATACGATGACAATACACATATATAGTTACACAAAGACAGAACTCAAGTAATAATGCAACAACAATACATAAATAGTTAAACACAGACAGAACTCAAGTAATCATGCAATATCATATGTATGGTTACACATCCAAACATAACTCAAGCAATCAGATATGCGGCAACTTCATTTAGTCAAACTTTCATTTGTTTTCATTAACTCAAGGACATCCAATATTAAAAAAATTCTCCGTGCAACAAAATTTAAATGAAGCATTAAGGCTGTACACCTAGTTTCAAATGTCCGAGATGTGATTCTCACGAAACAAATAAGAGTTAAAAGTATTATTTCTTATAAAATAAAGCTCATTGTAATTAGTCCATGTACTAATTTGTGCACAACAATATTTAGTGTAACTATACAAACAATAACAATAGAATTTTGTTTTCTTAGCAATGCCAGTTAAGTTATACATATCATAAAATGATCAAAATCAAAGTTTTTTTAAAAAATTTCCAAATACCAAGTTCCCTTGCTTATTTAATATCAGGCCTAGTCTGAAAACAAATTCTCCAGATTTTTTAAAATCGATAGAAAACAATACGATAATCTTAGAGTAAAAGGAAATGTAACAGTTCTTAACAAAGACAAGGTGTCAAGCATTTTTGTTCATAAAATTGGAATATAGGAAAGATAAAAAATAGGGTCAAATTATGACACAGAAAACTCTTTTAAAAATATTCTGTATTTGCCCAAACATAATGTGCACCCAATATTGATAGTTTAGATTGAAGAAAATTTGTTTTTTCACTCATCAGTTGTACAAGACGTACTGAATAATTTTGGAAATCTTTCATTGACATTTTTTACGAGTCAACTTTACAAAATTTATTGAAAAGTTCATACATGGTAATACACTAAGCTAATCAATCATCTTTACAAAAATCTTCGTCATTGCTAGAATTGTTTGTATACCCAATATTGATAGTTTAGATTGAAGAAAATTTGTTTTTTCACACATCAGTTGTACAAGACGTACTGAAAAATTTTGGAAATCTTTCATTGACATTTTTTATGAGTCAACTTTACAAAATTTATTGAAAAGTTCATATGTGGTAATACACTAAGCTAATCAATCATCTTTACAAAAATCTTCATCATTGCTAGAATTGTTTGTACCATCGGATTCCTAGGATTTCCTTCCTTGAACCTTTTCTCCATCCTCTTCTGGTTCGCACAACATCATCATTCATCTCATCCATCGCATTGGATACGTAATTTTTTTAAACCTTCAATGGCGCTTTAATGATTTTTGGTGGTAGCTTCTAATAAAATACCTAACAAAACTGAACGTGCACAAATATAATACACAGTCAATTTTTCGTGAGATATTTGGAAGAAAAAAAAGTGTACATTATATTTGGGCAAAAACAGTATATTTAAATGTTAACATATTCTTAAACTGAAAATGTATTTCCAATAATACTCACCTCCCCTCACACAACAGTTATTACTCAACTGATAGGGTTTCCTTCCTTTACCCATCAAAGCATTGGTCTGATTTTTTCTCAATTGCTCCAGTCTTTTATTCCCCACTTAACTGCCCTTGGCAATATCTGTCTCATGACACACTCTACCTACATCAATGTGCTTTCTATCCTGGTACTGTATATAAGCACGTCGTTCAGATATTATTATCACTTCTTCCAGACTGGTTCAATGTCAATCTGGTATTCTTTTCATCCGGAATCTAATTCTTGCACTGGGGGTGGAATTTGACATGATCCATCATCACTATTGGCCAGGCACCAACCAGGTAGCCGAGGCTCCACTGCTTGGGGTTGGAATTATAAGGCTATGGTCCCTAAATCCCATGTTGGTGGCTAGGGTATTTGGACCACAATATACACATACTTGTGAATGGATACCAATGTGGATCGCTATGGGGCGATGCATTTCTAGCCACCGGATTCACAATGAAAAGGTAAGCAACATCAATGTGTATAAACTATCATCTCAACCTCAAGAAATCTGAAAGGCAACATCCCAAACTTGGAATGACAGGGTCCTCTATGCTTTACTCAACCTGAGGAAACAGAACTTATCTGGTTTGAATTTATGAACACTCATTCTCGCTCCCCAACCACGTGGACAAGGAAAAGTCCAATTTTCTCCAGAATTATGGAGAGGACATGGAACAAACTGTGCTCAACCAAGGACCCAGGATCGGACCACTCTATATTTAGAATTACGAGAAGACAATGGACCCTCTTCCATGAACAATATACTGAACCAATATAAATCAAAAAGAAGGGCCACACTCAACCCAACCAGATAGCTAAGCCTCAAATCTAAACTGGTATTATGAGTAGGCTGGGATAATAAAAAAACAGCCAGGTCCAACTTCACCCTCTTCTCCAAGAGTGGGGGTAATTCACTTGAACACTCTGGAGGAATAACCTCTGTTCACCACCCCAGTGATTGGAAACCAGATGTGGTAAGGACTCTCTAGCTCCACTAGTAGGATACAAGGGGGGGGGGGCATTGGAGAGTCCTGAGGAACAATGCTTTTGAAACAGTGCAATAGGTTAAACAAGTTCCCTAAATTTTTAAAAGTAAACTGACCTTGATTTATTCCATCTATTGATCAGCAGTGATAGGCAGGATCCACTTATGCTTTGCTCATGATATTCCACGAGTGGCAGTCCAGCATAGTACAGCAATATCACCCAGTCTGCCTCTACTGTCGACATATGTACCATTTTCGTTGATAAATGTCTATCATGGGATTACACAAAGAGTGAGACAGATACATGGTAACCTTAGGAATTAAACCCTGATATCATGCGAAGGACCCCATAATCTACATGAATAAAGTTTGAGTTTCAGGATGGCTGGGTGTATGACATCAGATCGTGGCTGCCTCAACAGAGATGGCCAAAGTGGAAGAGATGAGCACTGCTGGAGGTACCACAGAAGTGGAAATCAGGGTTGAGCCAGCCAATCTAGTTCTATCAATAGAACCCAAGAAGGAGTTGAATGAATCACAGCTAGTGCTCTGGATAACATACGAATTGGTGCAATCCTGTCCAGTCCTGACTGAATGCATCTATTGCCAATGTCTGAGGGTGGAGTACCAGAAGCCAAAAAGTTGGTAGTTGAGTGTTCCAAGTAGTGGTAAAAGCATTGATCATTAGTGTCCCAAACTGAAAGTAAATCCAATGGCAAACCATTCAATGCAGCATCCATTATGTTGGGAGAATCCAGTAGGGTCAAGACAATTAATCTGTTAGCAAATTCATCACCCCTGAAACATGGCAAGTTTGTAGGATGATATGATGGGAGTGTGCTCAATAAAGAAGATCCAAGGTATGAAAACAAAGTGACCTGGACCAAGTGCCCCTTTGACAGTAAATATAAAACACCACCATGGAATTGTCGAAGTGAAGCATTATAATTTTTCCTCTCAATCAGTCCAGAACTTGATACATCACCCTTTAAACAGCAAGAAGTTTTAAACAATTGCTCTATAGGAAATCTTCGTTGTTTGTCCATAAGCCCTGGAATTCCTGACTGTTGGGATATGCACCCTATCCCTGAAGCAAGGCATCCATGAAAAGATGGATCTCTGGATAAGGTGGCAGAGAAACACCTATCGTAGTATTGTTCCAAACTAACCACCACACAAAATTGAAGATGTTGATCCTGAATAAGGAGACTGGGGAATCCAGTGAATTGCTGTTTATGATCCCTAGGTTGTGTAGAGACCATTGAAGGGATCTGATGTGCACTCTTTCCAAAGGAATGAGGGATTCAAGTGATGTTAACATCCCCAAAAGAGAAAGAACCATCCATGCGGTGGGAGAAGGAGATGTGGTTAAGAGTGAGACTGCCAGTTCCATAGCATGGAGCCAGCTGAGCCCAATTGAGATACGTGATGAAAAAGACACCCAGAGGGATGATATATTATGTTGGAGCAAGAATAGATTTCTTGGCTCTGATAACAAAGCTTGCCTTCAATGCTTCTGAAAAATAATCTGGGTGTGACATTCTGCCAACTGATGAGATGGTGCCAGCAGTTGTCAGTCATCCATGTAATAGTGTGTGTACATGCCTAAGGTATGGAGGTGATGAGAAAAAGCTTGTAAGATTTGGCAGAACACATATAGTGCCGATGCTAGTCCAAAGGGCAGAGCATTGAACAGCAGCACCTGACCCTTGTGCACAAAATGCAGATAATGGCAGGATGACTCCTTTATGTATATGTGCAGATAGATGCCAGTGACACTGAACTTGGTCATCCACAGTCCAAGCAAAAAATGTCAATGCAGAGTGATGAATGACTCCACTGTGAACCTTGGAGGATCTAGGAATTGATTTAGATGAGAAAGATTGATGATCAGGTGTCCATCTCCTGTCTTCTTGGGCACAACAAACAGATGGGAATAAAACCCTGGAAGAACTGGGAAGACTATTTACTGCCCCTTGACCAAAAAACCTCTGATAGCCCTGGAACAAAGTTCTGAAATCTGAGGATCTGCAGGAAGCAGAAACACTACAGGTTGGGTAGATAATGGTGGTGAAGATGCTACCTGAATGACTAATCTCGATGCAAGGCACTGTAGTACCGATGGATCAATGTTAAAGGTTTTCCACACATCCAGAAATTCTTCAAGCCAAGCCCCCACAGAACCTAAAGGCATACAGTAGTCACTGATGCTGCTGACAGCATTCCAACTAGGTGAAGGAACTACGCGGATATAAGCGGAATACATTTCTGGTACCAATAGACCAAGGAGCTGATATTGGGTGTTGGACACTCAAATAAAGGCAGAACTATGACACCCTGTAGTAGCCATGGAAAGTCAAGAAGCCAATAATGACAAGGATAAATGCAGACAGGCGACATCAACCCTAGATTCCAAAGACACTGGAACACCCACAAAAATCAAGGGTTGGAGAAAGAGGGCTTCATGTAACTCATAGAGGGCAGCAGCCAGTAGACAAATGCTCTATAACAATGCATCTCTACCCAAACAAATCCCAACAACATACCAGCTAAGAGACTAGGGAAAGTGCTGAAGCTGACAACTGAACCAAAGTAGCTGTTAACAATGGTCCCAACTCATCATCAAATTGATGAGGCAATCACCGAGAGGCTTCTGACAAAAAATTGAAGGGATGATAAATGTCTTAGCACAGTAGTTACGGTAAGATGAATCTTAGAAGACTGTGATCTATTCAGGTTGACCACAGACTCCTTTCTGGAACCCCACATTTTCAAAAGCGGGTCTATTCTTTGAGAGTCTAAATACACATCTATAAGGCAGTGGTAAGCTTAAGCATGTTGTTCTGACAAATGTGGCAGACAAGGCATAGCTGTCCTTTCACGTAACTAAGCAGTAAAACACCCTGCATAAACCGCAATATCAGGGGATGGAGGGAGAATTAAGTATTTGCCCTCAGACCTTTCCACCGTCAAGGAAGGTGCAAGCTCAAAACATCATACTTTCGATCTATACACTAAAGAAAAAGAGCCAGAGGTAGCTGATCCCAATTTGGCCTTCTGAGAAGCTGACAGAATGAAGGAAGACATTGGAAAAAGCGAATCTAAATTCTGTCCAGGATCACCCGCAAGTGTAGCTTCAGAGCCCCCCTGAAAAAACATCACTGAATATATGTCTCCATCTCACTATGAATTAGTTCCTGGACAGCCTCAATTGAGACCCCCCCTCCAACAGTTGTGGCATAATAGATATCAGAGGTGGGATAGGAGAGACCTGATTTGCCTCTGTGCCGGAAACAGAAATCCGGGAATTCATGACGTATATCAGCTTGCCATACGAAGTTTTTTTTAAATGAAAACCAACTAGGTGACATGAAGAATGCTCAAAGTATCTCCAGCGGTCATAGTACAAAGAAACCCATCAGTGAATGCTTTGTTGAGAAAAATATAATATCTGAATGAGGTGCTTATATACAGTACTAGGATAAAGGGTGTACTGACGTAGGTGGAGAGTGTCACAAGAAAGATATTGCCAAGGGCAATTAAGAGGGGAATAAAAAGCTGGAGCAAGCGAGAAAAAATTAGACCCATGTTTGGATGGGCAAAGGAAGGAAATCCTAGCAATCGAGTAATAGCTGTAGTATGAGAGGAGGTCAGTATGTTTTGGAAGTCTTTATGCAGAAATTCCTACTCGTCTAATAACATTTGTTTCAAACCAAACAGTTTGAAAGAAATTATTTAGTTAAAAAAACAACTTTGAAGCTTGTTTTAGCATGTTTTCTCATTCTCATAATTCTTTCTAAAATTAAAACAAGTTTTAGCATATATGAAAAGTCAACATAATTTAGAGATTAAAAGTATGTACATTGAATCAAGTTAATATTCTCTCTGCTTACTCCTTTCTAGAAACGAAATGTACGAACACTGAATTGGGAGAGTTCCAAGTGGGTGGTCCGAGTTATTTTGATCAAACACAGCTTTTTCACGTTGTATCAATAAAACCTTGCATTAAAAGATAACTTGATAATCCCAGTGAACAATAATCACGTAGATCAGAAAGTGGTAGAAATGTGAAACTAACTAACTGGACATTTTAATTTACAAGATGGTACTTCAGTCACATACAAGTGTTTGTACATCAGATTTATATCAAGGTTATGATGGATTACCCTATTATCGATCAACAATCCCTAAGTCTCACAACAATTTCAGTGGCAGTATTTAGTGAGTTTAAAAGAAATAAAGGCATAATTTTTGTAAATTTCAATAATGTTGTACTTTCCACACATTGTGTACAAGCAGAATTATATTAGACCTGGGCCTGTATGCATGGAATTAACAAAAACCCTAACTAAAAATCTGGTAGATCCTGAGCATCCAGCTTGTGTATTTTACATGCACATAACTTTATTCCCTAGGTAGCCTTGCCAGTGCTATTCACAGAGACAGTAGATGGTGCCTAAAGTAGACACTAGCCCTAATGATGATAACCGAAACTAGTCGGCTATAATTAGTAATAAAGATTTTACCTTTTGCTGTACCAGAAAACATCAGTTTTTCTGCTTTTTTTACTCTTAATGTATACTCATTATTAAATATAATTCACTGTTTCAAGGTCATCTTACACTGTCCCCTTATATGTTCCACAAAAACGTACAAGCTGGCAAAGTTGTAATTTGCATAGTTCTCTTATAACCTGTATCTGTACACTCAAATCTTTTTTGTCAGGAACAACTAGCCCTCATTATTTATTGTAACATAAAATTGATATCATGTATTCAAAAAATTTCATATAATTTTAATTTTTTGTTTAACGCCGGCAAAACACAAATGTATTCAATAAACATACACCAATTACACAAATTTTTAAGGCTAGTTTTCAGACTTGATAAACACATTTGAAAATTGAAATTTTTGAAATACTCACTATTTCTTCACAGATTTAACAATCATCTCTGCAGCTGTGACTCTTTTTTTCTTCTTATTCCGAACAGCATTGCAATTTCGAAGGTGCGCATCTTTAGAAGAAGTACTGCACGAGGCACTTTTAGAATCACACTTTTTTAGATCCGTTTTGGCTCGTAGACTTGTAGTAGGAACCGGATACCCACTAGTATCTGAATAATCAGTTCCATTACTGTTTTCTTTAAGTTCATTCTGAGTTGACAGTTTTTCTTCTGCTTGTGAATCATTTTGAACGCTATTAGTGGAGAGAACATCATCTTTCTCTTGTGGAAAGGATGACATTTCTATACGTCTTACTCTTCTTTTAAATCCAGTAATATTGTTGTACTGAAGCATCCGTTGGAAGCTTATACTGTACTTACTACCTTGGAACCATTTGCTAAGGTCAATATTTTTCCATTTCTAACAGATAAGAAAGGGATAAAAGCAATCAAAATTATTTACATGTTATTAGCACTGTTTCAACATATATAAAATCATGATACTTTTTAGAAATCATGTCAAAAACTAAAACCAAAATAAGTCTTCTAGAAAAGATACATAAAATAGGAAGGCAATGTACTCTTGTCTGAAAGGATATGAGAACAATGGAATGATGAGAAACAATTTATAAAAAAGAAAAAAGATACAATAGGACAGAAATATCAATGAAGACAAGTTTCAACATTAACAATAGATCAGCAAAGAGAGAGAGAGAGATAGAAAATGGAGAATCTATTCAGTAACCTGCTAAAAGTCTGTTGGAGTTCAAAATAGCCCTCACATACTTATAAGTACAAACAGTGTTATCAGTCATTTTTCCATCCACCATTCAATATCTGCAGTTTATTAATAAACATTGAGTTTTTTATTACTAAATCTTTTAGTGACAAAACGAGAGGGAATCCTCAATAACTGTAGCACTTGAAATTCTTTTAGGCAGGATTAGAGTAAAAAAAAAAAGGTATAAGACTTTTTTTTCTTTTTATTAGCTATATTTTTGTCCAGCAATACCAAGTGTGGGGGTGCATATATACCCCCATTTGATTTTTTTACTCACCGGGATCTCTACCAGCCTACCTCAAATTGAAATTCTTTTAGATAGGATTAGAGTAAATTTATCTTTGAGACCTTGAAGTCAAATACACCAATCAAAAGGGTTTTGCCTCCTGAGTACAAAACTGTAATCAGATCTCAAATCGGTCAAGAGATGACTGAGTGTTTAGCTAAAACTTGGTGCCATTCTATGAGCTGCTATGCCATGGCTTGAAATACTGAAATAGTGTTACCTTAAATAAACACTAACCTTTGTGCAAACTGGTGCAATGTTTTCTAACATTACAGTTCCCCCAACGTAACAAGTCCAAATAATAAGTACGTAATCTGTAATTCAGAAGTTTATTATATATGACAGTTTCACATTTTGTTTTCATCTATTTAAGACTAGTCTAAAGTTACCTTTAATTTCAGAAAACATTGACTTTTCTGCTACCACTAACACAGACAAAACAATTCTGTAAATTTTGTTTTACCTGCTTGAAACCATTTTCAATACAATCAGTCATCTCGTTATTGTACATCTCCCACTCTCCAGGATGATTTCCTTCCCACTGCCAGAAAATACCGGAAGCTTCTTGACCTTCACATGAGTAAATCTTTCTACGAACTGGACATGTAAATGCTGTATAAAAATACAAAAGTTTTTTTAATTGGTCTTACATAGTAAAACAGTAGCTAGCAAAAAAAGTGCACTGGAGCATGAAACCGTTATCCTCAGTTCTTGTACCTCACCTGATGAAATCAGTAAGCCTGGTGAAATGTTGTGACACAAAATAAACAAAAAATTTAATATGTACAACAAATAAAGACCTTGTGTGAATTTTAAAAAACATAGTTCTTTCTAATATTTAAAAGTCACTATTGTTGAATCTTTGAGAGAACAGAGAACTACATCCTGATAATAAATATGCCACTATCCCACAACCTTCTGTGAGAAATGAGTACAATGGATTATTTTGTAATAATTAACACACCATTTCACTCTTGTCTCCAACAGCACAAAGTATTTTCCAGCATCTAATTATCATCCGGCAAAAACCGATTTATGCAAAGTCTGCTATGTTTATTGCAACATGTACTGACAGCAATGTATTGTGGTTTTTCAGATTCATTTGATAGTTATGTCAAAAAAAATCAATTTATATTATTAAGGGATTTTGATTTTTACTGCTACAATGAATCAAGGTAAAAAGAACAACAAAAAAACAGGGGCTTAGAAGATCAATTAAGCATTTATTTTTAATCTATGAAAAACCAGTAAACATGAATAAGATTATTTGTAGCAAAGTTCTTAAACCAACATATACTTGCATTCATTAATACAAGTTGCCCTTAACATCTGATTTCTAAGGTTATTCCCCCTACCTGGTGTATATATATATTTTACACAGACACATATATTGGTAACTGTTCTAATTAATAGTATGTGTTTTAAACAAAATCCCGAGTTTTAATGGACTGTGTATTAGAAGCAAACAAAACAGAAACTAGTCACTGATTATAATGTGTGCTCACCTCTGAACAGATTTAGAATTAAACTAATACTAATTACTGTACCATAAAAATCTAACAGCTATTTTCTTAACCCTTTACGACTTTGTGGTTAAAATTAAGAAATGTTAGTACAATGGATTATTTTGTAATGATTAGCAAGTGATATATTATAGAAGTAATGTTTGTTTATACAGCTTCAAGATTGGATATGGAATGTAAAAAGTCAGTCCAGAAATCCATCATCCCTAACCAATAGGGAAGAGGCACTCAGTGTGCAATGAATTATACAAAAATGTACCAGTTAACATAACATTTAAGAACAAGAAAGGGTTGCCCCATCCACTAAATTAAACTAAAAAAAAATAATTTAAATATTTATCAAACCCTCCTTAACTTTATTGCAACCAACACATCTGAAGGTAATCCACGCCTTTACTTTCATATACATACAAAGTAACCTCTTCAAAGAATACCAAAATATCAGTAAGTTCATATTTCCCCTAGTAAAACCATGTTAACTATACAACAAAATTTTAAACTTTGTTAAAAAATTAGCAAAGCATCTTTCATCACTCTTTCAAAACTTTTCCCATCACTGATGTAAGACTAACAGGCTTATAATTACTTGGATTACTGGCATATTCAACAGGCAGAGATGAAATATATAAATTGTTTAAAAGACCACATGAAATATATTCATCAATGTGATAAAATTTAGGAGAATGGACGGCAACTGTCTGTTGTAGAAACACAAGTATAAGGGTGATGTTTTGAAAGTCTTTCACCTTTCGTCTTCAGGTCGTTGTGTGTACGGTGTTGTTGGTGCTTAAAGTATTCTGGTGGATTGTGAAGTGCATATTATAGTTGTTTGGTTTCTTCATGTTTCTGTTTGATGGAGAGACTTCCTTTAGACTCAACCAATGGTAGCCTCAGGTTGCTCACCTCTAATCTAGAATCTCTGTTTAGTGAAGGTTTTACTGTGTTAATGTAAAAGGATTCTTTAATTTTTCTGGCCTTCCAGAATTTGTCTATGTCAATGATTCTAGTTTTTTTCCCAGTTTAATTTGTGTCCAGTTGACATGGTGTATCCTTCAATGGCTGACTTTAGTGTTTTCAAGAGTCTTGTACTGTCTTTATGACTACAATTCACCATTTTTAATAAATAGATAAACTTTAATAAATTGTTTTTTAATAAACAAAACAGCCTACCATTTCTTGACATACTCATCAGCAGACAAGAGAGAAAAATCATCCCAAACTGTATACAGAAAACCCATCCACAAGAACAGATATCTACACTTCTAGTCCTATCATCCAACCTTAATAAAATGTGGTATTATCCAATACTTAAACAAGAGAGCAGAAAATATTTGTGATAAGACAGCCATAGAAACAGAATGCCAAAATGGTTACACCTCCTCTTCCATCAAAAACTCCCTAAAGACCACAACAGAAAAAAAAAAGATAAGGAAAACACTACCACTACTACCATTTACTGCCAATACCTGCAAAATGTCAGCAAAAGCTCAAACACATAGCCAAGAAATTCAACATAGACATCCAGTAAACATCCTACAAGACACAGTTACCATCATCATGGCTAGTCAGCTGTAACTAATAATAAACATTTTACCTTTCACTATACAAAAAAAAAAAAATAATAAAACAAATCAGTTTTGTGTGTTTTTCACTCTTACTATAGTAACACAATATGCCTGAAAATAAATTATATACGCTTGTCTTTAGAGAACATGAGATGGTTGGTATTACTAACTTTGATCATTACAAAATGTGTAGTTTTACTGTATATATATCGTAAAAGGTCTTACAGATACATAATACACACGTTATCACCACAAATTGTAATTACACAACACATTTCATCTTAATAATTAAATGACTGATTGAGTCTTCCACGAATGAACATTTGTTGTGCATTTCTTTAACTTGCATTGCTCTTATATTAGAAAATTCTCACGTAAATTAACGTAATTTTCCAGAAGATTCTCTACCTGTATTGTCGGAGTATGCTACAAATTCATTCATGTTGACACTGAGGTGTTTCAGAGTTTTTTCTACTTCTCCAAGACAGACTATATTTACTACATTTTCATAAGATTTTTCCAACAGATGAGAAACTTTGGGTGAATACGATTTCCATCTTCCATCTGTCCCTATCCACTCCCACACCACAGTTTTCCAGGGCTGAGCTGTAGCCATGATCTATACACCTATATTTCTGTAAAATGTCCAAGTTCATCTGTTAGTAAATATTAATTATTTAAACTCATGTTGGTATTTATTTGGAGTCAGCCAACTGAACAAATGTAAAATTAAAAAAATGGGAAAAATCCCAACCGTATCTAGCCAATTATTTAGTAACTTAATATAAAAACACTTCTCAGTTGTATAAATATTCCTTAGTTAAATCTTAAGTTTCTTTATATATGCAAAGACTTTAATGAGTTAGCCAAATGTGCACGGGTCAGTCCACTGGACCAACCTTGTGCTACAGAAGGAATGTTGTCTACAATTCCCAACTATCAATGTGCAAGCTAATGTTCACGTGATGAATTTTGTTCATCATTAACTGCAAGGCACATAAGACCGATGCTTTTGAACTCCGGTTTTAAGTGGCACAAATGGATAAGAATGGTAACTGGACAGTATAGCAAACACACTGGACAGTATATACAGTCCATTGCAGGTTAACCCCCCAGCTAATATAAAAACACAACAATGCTGGCCAGTTTCGAACTCGTAACCATTCGACTACAAGTTCAAAGCATGAAACCAATGATCCACGTTACCCCTTCTACCTTCCATCTACACAGTTTGCATATTTAATTTGCATAACCTGCAGAACCTCTACTATTCTTACATACAGTTTTTTTCAGTATCCCTGTTTATTGTGTCTGGTATTTACTCTCCTCTACCATAAACTGTCACTAAATCAGCAACGTAGGGTAAAATGAATAGTCGATAACTCTGACATCAAATACATAATACCATGTTGAATGGAACTCTGTAAAAAGGTTGTAGCACATGCACTTTGACCTCTACCTGTGCACACAGGGTTAATGTAAACCTAAATTACATGTACTTGTAAGAAGATAATTAAGATTATCAGTTTTATCTTTCTACTGAGGAAATACAATTCTTATAGAAAATATTGAAAAACATTACTAAATACTTCAAATAATGTTGAAATTTTCACATTCTCTAATAAAGTTAATGAAAGGGATTTGGGTAAAATTGTAAACAGATCTTTGTTTCATTTGCTGAAAGTATTATTTTGTGTTTGTGTGGTCATATGTATGGCCTTTCACAAAAAAAAAAGATGTCCTAACAGACCTGAAACTAAAAAAAAAAAACTTTATGAAAAATAGTAACGCAGTGAAACAACACTACATTTATGTATATCAAAAACAAAGGAACACAAAGAACAAGACTGACATTAAAATATAGAATACAAGATCAGTGACATACCTCTTCAACTTAAAAACAGAACTATTAGAAGTTATATATAACCCGTACAGTATAAGTTTAATGGAAATACAATGAACCAATTGATGACAAGTGCAAAAGTTATAAAATTACAAAACTGACGTATTTATGCGTGAATTTCACGGTGTTGTAAAACTTATATTACATTAATATTAATACTAGTAACACTAATAGTACTAAACAGAATATGCTATTTCCCCAACTTCGCAGCTTTAAAGTTTAACTTAAATATAAATCTAAACAATTTTTAACTTTAAAGTGGTTCACGACTTTGAAATATTTTGTTAAATAACACTTTTAACAATAACAGCTTAAAAGCTACACTTGGCTTCAACGCGTCTAAAATAAACTGATCAATATCGTTAAAAATATAATAACATTAAAATACGTAAATATATATTTGTTTTACCTTATTTATATAATCGTAACTGTCACCATTAAGTAGTAACTGTAACAGAAAACGAACAGAAATAACAAAGTGACATCCTCCCAAAGAAGTCAGAACCTCCCCGACCACAAACGTAAAACAAAACCAGAACAATACCTCTAGCGCCATCTGCTATTTACAAATATTATCATATAATTTCAAAATCAAACTTTAGCTAAGAAATACATACTGGCCATATTAAATAGAAATGTAAAAGTTTAAATCTTAAAGCTCTCTATCAAAAGTTTTGAAAGATTTAAAACCCAAATGATGACTTAAAGCTTATCAGTGTTTAAAAACAGAGAGGTTATGACAGTAATTATCAACATGACAAACAAAATCATACCTCCAAGCCTGTGTTTTTGACATAAACTAACACACACAAGAACTAGAACTTAAACTACAGCAGCAGCTATTTATTAAAAAATCAAAACAAAATAACTTAAATAATTGAAAATGCGATATCTATATAATTAAGAGTAACGTGTGGGGGATGGGTTGTTGTTTGTAGTTTAGCACAAAGCTATACAAAGGGCTATCTGTGCTTTGCCCACCATGGGTATCGAAACCCGGCTTCTAGCGTTGTAAGTCCACACACATACCACTGTGCCACTGGGGGTGAGGAATTTTTGAACTTCATTAAACTATTAAAAAATGAAATTAGGAGTAGGGAAGTGTGGATGACGTCACCATACAAGTAAGGGAGGGGTGGGTGTATATAGTACTATGTATTGCAAAGGGAAAGAAAGGTATTTGAGTAATGTATATGTCATTAAAAGCTAAATAACCACAAACCATGGTATGAAACATTGTGTGTAAAGTATACGCTGTTAGTGAATCAAGAATGACGGATATAAATATATATATATACAAGCGAAAGTGCTCGGCTTCGGCTTTGCTCGGAATATTAGGTTGATATTGTTACGTATCTTCTAGTTTGATAATTTCCGGTATAAATTCTTTCCGAGGAACTTCAGCGATGCAAGTCCTTTCTTAAATAAAGCTAGTTTATTCTTTCTCGATACAACTTTGCAATACAAAGAATTTC